TGAAATACAATTAGAAAGATATAGACATAAGCGCAACTCTTACCTTGCATATATTGTAGATAAGGAAATTTGAAGCCCAGAGAATTTAAGTGATTTGGCCAAGGGCAGACAAGAGGCAATGGCAGAGCTAAAATGAGGTTTTTCTATTCCCAGTTAAGTGCTCTTTTCACTATATCATTCTGCTGGGGGGTTGGCGGGGGCTAAGAAATAATCTTCCTTTAAAAAGCAAAAATATGTGAAGAGGTTAAGTAAAATTCCCTCCAAATTACATGTCCAGCTGAACAGTGGTAGCAGTATCGATACTGAGCCCGTGTCTCTGGAACAAGTTGTCTAGGCTGCTAGACTACCCAGAGTTCCTTCACTTGAGAAGGTAAAATACTGGAGCTAACACAAATGCCATCCTTTCCCCCAGAAGCACTGCATTTCTTAGGACCCATCCTAAGAAGGGCTATTAAACCACAGGGATTATAAGGGATGTGAATGAAAAAGCAGGGTTTTTTTCTCTCTCCGCATCTGCATGCCTCACTTCAGAAGGACTGAGCCAACCGAGGCTGAGGATCAATCAATGAAAAATTAGAAAAGTGGAAAACTAGAAATATGTTGTAACAAACTGAGAGTTAGGAGGTGTTCGCAAATACTTTTGACAAAGCATTTCACCTTATTAAATTTATAAAATGAGGAGGCTGAACTAGATGATGTCTAAGCCTACCATATTCTAATTTTCTTTGATTCTAGGTTGATTCCAATTTGCAGGAAAAGACAGACATGAAAACTTGAAGGTAAAATGAACTTTGGGAAACCATACGTAATTTTTTAATGCAATAGGTATGTGCCCAGTTTAAAGGAACATAATCAATCCTGTAATTTGGATTTTTGCTTACAGGGCTTTCTTATGGGAGGGCATATCCACAGAACAAAAAGTACACCAATAACAATTATTGGTTTTAATAAACAGGAAAAAAGGGTAGGAGCCAACAATGAAGGCCTTCTTTCAACTTAATACACTGACTTTCTTGCTGCCCCGCTTAAGACAGTTCTTAGGACTAAACACGGCCATTTAAAATTCAACAAGTTATTATTAAGCATTGGAGAGTATATTTTGTAGTAAAGATAGAAAGACACTTCAAGCAATAGAGAAGAAGTCCTTGATTTGATTTACCAAAAAGCATGTGGAAGGGGAGAAATGAACCGAGAATTTACCCTGATAAAACTTAAGATTCCATAGTATGAAAGAAGGGAAAACAAATAACAAAATTAAGACTTCAATTGGCTTAAGAAAATAGTAGAAAGAAAACCAAGAGCAAAGGCATTCAGGACAGTTCAAGTTCCTAAAATACCTATTTGTTTTTGGTTGTACATATGCAGTATAAAGAAACTCTGGAAAATACTACTAACAATGGTTACCTGTGGCAGAGAGGCAGGAAGTGGGCTGAGGAGAGACAGGTGTAAAGGGGAGACTTTTACTCAATACCTTTTTTACTGAATACCTTTTATTGAATTTTTAACCATGTAAATATATTACCTATTTTAAAAATTAAATAAATTAAAAAGTTTAAATGTCCTGTAAATTCAATTCTTTTCAGGTGACACTCGAAAAACAAGAAAGCCAAAGAATGGAGACATTCGAACAAAGTACCAAGAGGCAAGGAAAATGTTGTAGCACTGGGAGTTCTGAGACAATCCAAAGAGAGGATGATCTGGACTGTTCTGGGAACCATCTGGGAAAGTCAGGTGAAATGCAATATGGACACCACCAAGAAGCTTAGGATAGATAGCTCAAACCAGCACCAGCTGGTACAATGGTATCTTGAAAACGTGATACACATGTTTTATGACCCTGTGTCCCTGGACAGTGTGAAATCCACAACAGAGAACTAGTTCTCTTTCACCCTCTAAAATAAAGAGAGAAGGAAATGAGAAACCAGTTTCTATGAGAGTCACAAAAATGATCAATCAGGTAGAAAACGAGACCTATGAGGAAAAAATAAAGAAACCCACTTGTACCATTAAGCAAAGAAAAGAAATTCTACTTTGCAAGAATTATTTAAGGCAACCCTTAAAAAACAAATGGAAGGGAATGTCCTCTTAAAGTCCTTTCTACTCTCAGGATATTTCAATATGTGGGTTGATTCCCAGCGTGTTTCCTTGTAGGGGAGACCTCGCTAATTTGGCCCAGTGAAAGGCCTGGTTAGTAAGACGTATTAGTAATGCCAGTGAAGATATGCAAGTGAACTTGAACAAGCACATTATCTTTAATCAATTGAAAAACGCTTTATTTAAAAACACAAATAATACCTTGAAGTGCTACTAATGTTCTTTCTTGTCATAGGTGTTTGTTTGCTTTTAATAATCATTAAGCCAAGCATTTATGTTTTATGAATTTTTCTGCATGGTGGTATATTTCAGTTTAAAAAAAAAAAAGAATTTGAAGAATACAATTAAAGTTATCCTTTCCACAAACTATTTACCTTTGTGGTGAGGCCAAAGGCTGAAGTCAGATTTTCTATCATGAAGAGCCAGTCCCCTACTGGACTGCCATCAACAGCTGGCCTACCCAAAAAAGAGTACCCATTAGGGCCAGAGACCACTCTCTTTGGGTCCTCACTCCCAAGCTAGGATCACTGAAATCTAAGGCATTGGGAATGGAAAGAGGCTGTCTATAAGGCAGGAAGCAGGGAAAAAGGCAAGCAAAGGAAAACTAGGCTCTGACAATGAAGAGCTCTCTACATTTTTCATATATTAGGTTTAAGAAAAGGAAGTTTAATTTGCATTTGAGTTAGAAAAACAAATAGTTCAAATAAAAGCAAAGAGGTTTCAGGCACCTGAAAGGCCAGAGTCCAAAGGGCTTTACCTATCTGCTTATTGCCATAAGAGTATTTTCTGAAAAAGTTATACCAGTTGGCCAAGCTTATCTAAGCAGGCACGACCTAAACTCTGTGTTTTGTTATTTCTTTTTACCTCTACTTTTTACCTCTTTACCTCTACTAAGACTAAGGATGCAAGGGCAGGAAAGAGGAGGGAAATATATCTTAAAATATTTCAAAATTTTACAATCAATGAAATATTTTTTTAAAAACAGCGCAAGATTCCATGTTCCCTTATTCACTAACCCAGAAAGTTAAAACCTTGTCTCCTTCCTCACCCACCTACCCCCCATTCAGCAAAGGCCCAGATTAAATAGTTAGATTTTAAAAAAAGGATAAGTAAGTAAGGAAATCAATGACAGTTTATGGAAACTTACTTAGCCCCAGGATTTGGCATTTGAAAATGTCCTTAGAAGTCTTGTCCAACTTCTCAATTTCTACATGAGAAATTTAGGCCCAGAGAGGTGAAATGACTTGCTCAAGGACATGAACTAGTTCTGAGATTTTCTTTATCTACTACTTTCTTTTCCCATGAACTATTTGTGGTAGCTTGAAAAATACACATACTAAGGAAGGAAACTATAAATAATAAACATGGTGAATTATGGTAGAGTGAAGATTTCTTACTTCTAGTCTACTTTTCTTTATATCATATCATGTTTTGTTCCTTAACCATTCTAAATTTCCCAGTGGAAGTTACAGGCTACTGATTCTACTTTTTCCTATTACGTAGCTCTTCTGAGCTGCAACAGAAGTACAAGGGTGAAGGGCCATTTTATGTAGACAACGTCTTAACTAGTTTTGCCATTCAGACCTAAGATGCCTCCACAACTATAGCTAAATCAAGAGATCTATTCGCCTCAAGTCTTACTTCTGTCCCATTATTAAGACAAAGAAACAGAAATTTCTTCCATAACTGAAAGACTAAAAGGCAATTTAGTTAATGGCAGTTTATAAGACAGTTTTGTTAATAAGGGCAGTTTAGTTAAGCTTTATATTTGTTAATATATAATTACACAAAGCCTTTTTACCCTTCATCTGGAAACACCTATGGATTTAATTCTTTAAATGACATCTGTCAAATGGGGGATCCCTAAAATGGTATCTGATGTCAGTCTTCAGTATTCAATGGCTAATTACTTGGCCACTGGATTAACTGGGGGCTCTGCTTCATTACCTGTTGCCTAGTTTCAAAAGATAATCGTGAGAAAGAAACCCAAGGTTTGGTCAAACATTTGTCAGGGAAATTTGAAACTTGGCGAAATGAAGATTGGTATTTCTTTCACTCATGCTTCTTACTAGCAGGAATAACAGAATTGACTCTATGTAAGAGTCAGTATTCGCTGAATACAGACAACTGTGTAACAAGGCTACAGACCTGGTCTCCTCATTGGCCCAGTTTGGTTTACTCTATTCTATTCTTGTCCCCAAAGGCTATGATCTAATGTCACAAAGGGGGTTAGGTAAGCAGACAAAGCCATCATCTCCATTATATTAACAACAGGCTCTGTTGATGCTGCGATAATAACATCATCTTTATATTTAAAGACAGAATTCTGAATGTGTGAACAAGATTCTACAGGGCTGTGCCATCTCTCACTATGCCATCTTTCTTGTACTCTATTAAAACAGTCCCATTTATGTCCCCCCCCACCTTTTTTTTTTCTTTTGCGGTACGCGGGCCTCTCACTGTTGTGGCCTCTCCCGTTGCGGAGCACAGGCTCCGGACGCGCAGGCTCAGCGGCCATGGCTCACGGGCCCAGCCGCTCCACGGCATGTGGGATCTTCCCGGACCGGGGCACGAACCCGCGTCCCCTGCATCGGCAGGCGGACTCTCAACCACTGTGCCACCTGGGAAGCCCCCCCCCCCACTTTTTTAAATCAATCTTTTTCTACTGTCAAATCAGGAAAAGGAGCCAAAACCAAAAGTCTTATTAACAGACTGAAAAGTGCCAAGACCCACAAATGATCCTTAGCAGCAATTAAACCAAAGAAGAATCGCCGTAAACTGGAACTGAAACAAAAGGCTAAGTACTTATCCAAACTCTGGCAAAGACACAGCTCTTTCCCCCCATCCCCCCTGAGCCTGTTAGGAGCCGGGTATCTGAAGCTGCTGCTCCACCTCCTCCAACTCACTTTCTGCGTCAAATAGTATGGGTCAAAGTCCTCCAGGGGAACCGCAACCAGGCCTTGGGGGATGTCCCCATAGATGAAAGGCAAACTCTTCCCTGCTTCCAGGTCACTGTTTGGCTTGGGCTTGCTATCCTCATCATCTTCCCGATGGCTGCCATCGGCCTTTGGCGGTTTCTTGAGCTTGCTCTCGGCAATGCGCCTCTCAATGTTTGCCAGTGACTCAGGGGTGAAAGGCTTGAAACTATCAGGGCCTGGTGGTGCGAGCAGCCGCGCTGCCATCTTCTCATCCTGCAGCAGCTTCGTTAGTTATGCTGCGTCCAGGACAGGTCAGCTCTGGAAGAAACGGCAACACAGACAGCATTAATCAATCGCTGCTCTAAAAAGAGGCCAGACCAAACCATCTCACTCTCAACCTTTAGTCACAACCTTCGCAACACATAGTTTCTCCCATGACATGGTTATTTTTCTCCTCAGAAAGTCTGTGGCATGAATGGACGAGGCAATGTCCATAACCACCCCTCAGGGGAATGAGCAGCCAAGGAGATCAAAACATGGGAGTCTCCTGAATTGCTAGTTTTTATTATTGACTTAGATGCAGCTCACAGTTAGTAACCACGAACAGCTACAAAGATATATTCCATACCCTCTGTGCTTAGTGAAATAAGTCAGACAAAGACAAATACTGTATGACAGCACTTATATGTGGAATCTAAAAAATACAGCAAAAACTAGTGAATATAACAAAAAAGAAGCAGACACAGATATAGAGAACAAACTGGTGGTTACCAGTGGGGAAAGGAAAGGAGGAGAGGGGCAATAAAGGGATTAAGAGGTACAAACCATTAGGTATAAAATAGGCTACAAGGATATATTGTACAACATGGGGAATATAGCCAATATTTTATAATAACTATAAATGGAACGTAACCTTTAAAAATTGTGACTCACTATATTGTACACCTGTTAACTTATATAATATTGTATAGCAACCATACTTCAATAAAAAATAAAGTGATTTTCTTATAGACAACATTAAAAATATATATATTCCATACCCTCAAGTAATTTCTATTCTAAATGAATAAGGTACGTTTAACATGACCGAGAGGCACCTATTAGCTTTGGAATCCTTATATGCTCAAGTCATCTTCCTTTCCTAGAACTCTGCTCCCTAAAGAAACACTCTTTTTCCAGGGACAACGCAAGGGTAAACTGTCTCTCTCTTCAAATTTCAGTTTCTGAAAACACTAAACCCTTCAAAACTTTGGAGGCACAAAAATATAGCCAGAAATGCTTCTATTTGCTTTGGCTCTTCTGTTTAAAGTTCTTTTTCAATTCACCAAGGTTTGTAAAATCCATCCAGTATAAAAGTCCAGAAGTACCTGCTCTGATGACCAAGCTCGTGCCAGGGACAAACACAAAGCGCTTTTCTTCATGGAGAGGGCAGCTATGGCTCTACGTACCTCCCACTCAGCAACAGGAAAAGCAAATGGGAGAGGAATCTTAGAGACCTTCCTCTGAGGCAACAGCCCTGCAGCACTGCAGGGTGAACGACAGCAGAAAGGCCCCTGAGCGGGGCTCATGCCAGAAGGACAGGAAGTGAGAAATGAATCACAAACCAAATCCCTTTCTAAACAGAGAAACTGAAGTAGTGCCATACTAGAGCCAAAGACTTCTAAGCATGGTATTTGAAAAGCCCATTTTCATTTATGTGTGTACAGAGTCCTAGGTTATTGAAATACACACCTTGGAACAGGGGGCTCCCTAATGTCAAAGCAATGTGACTCTTCCCATGAAAGCTTTAGGGCTTCACTCGCAGTTCATCTGGCGCTCGTGGTGCTGCTTCTTCCTTTTGTTTTATGAGCTTCACAAAGACAATCTGGGACATGTTTTTAAAGGCTAAACACAGCTCTTTCCCTCCTACTTAGCCCTCAGGGTCCACTCCGAGGCAAGCATCCATAAAACTTGAGGCTCCTTAAGATAACAGTAGTAGAGTTAGCTCTAAATAATTTGGGAGTGAAATACCCAAGGGCTCTTTTCATAAATACACCCGCAGAGAGCCCAGAGTTTTCCGGTGGTGGTGATGGCTGTGAAAGGCAGTGTGTGGTATCCACATGGGCTGATCAGCTCACTCGGTTACAGCCTGGCACTGACGAGGCCAGAACCGCAAGTCAGCTCCAAGCTGCACACACACAAAACACCATTCCTCAGACGATGGGGTCGAAGAACTCCTTTTCATGTGTGAGGCATGCGATTCCAGAGCTGCGAGGGATTTTATAGATCCAGTCCACTTCATTTTAAGAATTAGGAAACTTGCAGTCTGAAGAGATGAGGTAACGTGCCCAAAGTCACAGGGCCAGGAAAAAACACACAAAGAGCTCTGACTCCCCCAACCCAGACTTCTTTTATTCTGACAAACATCAGTTACCCCTCTGCCTGTCCCAGCCTGACTCCCACTACTCCGCAACAGGAACAGTCTGGTTCAAGTAAACCGCACGCAAATGCCAATGGTTTTACTGATCTAAGACTTTACTCCCACTGTTTCCCCCAAACCTAAAATTCCTTTCCCCTTATCAGTCCCTGAACTGCCTCCCATAAATCCCTACTCCTCCGAAGAATCTTCCCATCAGCTCCAGCCCTTACGAATTATTTTTCCCTTGTGAACTCCTACAGCTTTATCGTGATCTCTTAGCTAGCACTTATCACATACTTGCTATGTTTCAGGTATTGTTCCAAGCACCTTGCTTGTATTAACTCGTTTAATCTCCAGAACGACCTATGAGGTAGATATTATTATTATCCCCTTTTAACAGATGAGGAAGAAGAGGCACAGAGTCCTAACGGAGCTTGGCCAAAGTTACGCAGCTAGAAAATGACAAAGTCAGGGTTCAAGACATCTTATTCACACCGGCTTTGGCTCTCAGTCATTGTCTAACTGCACCATATAAATCCCTAGGGGCATGAGTGGTGTCTTAAACTTCTTTCGTATTCTTCTCACACAGAATACGATTATGCCTGGAACCCATAGCTGGTCCAAGTACTTGGGACTCCTTGGTCCCCACAGGCACACTCATCCTCAGCCCTGGGTCACCCTATTAGAGGACAGAGGACGCTGCAAGAGGACGTCGCTGCGGATGCTGACAAATTCTTGTAACCTGACTGCGCACACCTGGGCTCTTCACAGGTAAAGCCACCCTAGGCTAAGTCCTCTGCCTTTGTTTCCTCCTGCCTTCTCCAGGTTCCCTCAACGATCATGGGTCTCCAACACATTCTCAATCTTCACTTCTCCTCTCCTACTTCTGTACTTTCTCCCTTTACATCTTCATCCCCCGCCCCCCACTCTCTCTTCATTTGGCTTAAGCGATTCTGGTTCTCTTCTGATACCCTGGTTCTATCCTGGTTCTTCCCCTACCACCTTTTTCTTCTGTAAGGGCTGGTTTTCTGCAATCTCTCTGCATCACTCCTCCTTTTAGGGATCTCATCTACTCAAAATAATCTGTATGTGGGTGATTTTCAGATTTCTATCATCAGCCCCGATTGCTCTTCTGAGCCCCACAACTGCCTGTCACAACTTCACAATTAAAGCATTTAAAACCACTCATCTTTTCGCTTCCAAGACGGAGTCCTCCACCTGGCTTTCTTAATTCTGTGATCGGGACCATTGTTTTTCCAGCCATCTAGCGTGGACCTTCAGTCATCTTTGCCCCGTCATCCTTTGCTGTCCTTGCCCAACCAGTCACCAGCCTCACTAGTTCTTCTTCCTTCAGAGTTTCCATTTTCAACCTAATTCAGGTCCTACTGCAATAGCCTCCCACCTGTAGACCAGTCCGCAGCCCACCAGGCACATCTCCAAAGATCCGTTTCCCTAAAAAATCTGCTTCCATTATGTCATTTTCCTCCCTCGAAGCTACTGGAGTTACAGAAAAGAATCCAAACTTCTGCCATTTCACTGCCATTCAAGGCTTTCTACAACCTTACACTTCTCAGATATTCATCTACAACCTTATACTTCACAAACATTCTTTTCTACTGCTTCCCTGCAAGAACATCTACTCTGGCGACTGGTTTTTGTTTTAATTTTCTAGTATTTTTTTTAAAGGTAGAACAATAAAGTGTATACGAATCTTAAGTGCACAGATTAGTTTGTAATATGTATACACCTGCGCAACCACCACTTAGATCAAGATACAGAAGATATGTCTCCAGCACCCCAGATGGCTCTCTTGAGCTCCCCCGTCAAAGACCACCACAACCATCCCTGCCCAGCAAAAGCTCTTCTGACATCTATCACCATAGATTAGTTTGGCCTTAGCAGAAGATAAAATCTACTCTTCAAAATCTGGCTTCTTTCATTCAACATTATTTCTGTGAAATTCATCTTTACTGGCGTGTGTAGCAATAGTTCATTCTTTTTATTGCTCTGTGGTATTCCATGTATGAACATACAATTTATTTACCCGTTCTACTTTGCTGGACATTTAGGTTGTTTATAGTTTCAGGCTATTATGAATGAAAGCTGCTAAGTACCTTTTTGTGCACGCCTGTTGGTGACCATACGTGCTCTTCTCTTTTCAGCACATAGGCAGGAGTGGAATGCTGGGCTCAGAAGACAGCATACATTTATTTAGCTTTAGTGATGCTTCTACCAGCAAGGTAAGAGGGTTCCAGTGGCTCTACATCCTCACCAACACTTGGAAATGACAGCCCTCTTAATTTTTACCCATTCTAGTGAGCATATGTATAGTGATAGCTCATGGTGTTTACAAAATTTACCAAGGTGGAATTAACCACTTGAAAGTGAACAACTCCACGGCAATTAGTACATTCACAGCATACTGCAACTACCACCTCTATCTAGTTCCAAAACATTTCCATCACTCCAAAGTAAAACCCTTTACCCGTTAACCAGTTTCTCTCCATTCCTCTCCCCTGCACCCACCCAACCCCCCAGCTCCTGGCACCCATCAGGCTGTGTTCTGTCTTTATAATCTACTGATCGATCTATTCCAGAAATTCATATAAATGGAATCATACAGTAACCTTTCATGTTTGGCTTCTTTCATCCTCATTGTAGCATGTACCAGTTCTTCACTCCTTTCTATGGATGAATAACGTTTCAATATAGGTTTGCATCATGATCTGTTTATTCATCCATCCACTGAGGAACAACTGAGGGGGGAGGTCTTTCCACTTCTTGGCTATTGTCAACAGTGCATGCACATGTACTTATTTTAGTTCGTCCCTGTTTTTTTTTGATGTGAACAATTTCTTCCTTTTTTTAAAAAAAATAATAAATTTATTTTTGGCTGCAGTGGGTCTTCGTTGCTGTGCGC